TGCAGCCAACAAGAGTCTGGACTGATTAAAACATTCTTTTGTACGTCTGTTTTGGCTTTCGTTCCTGGACGGCGAAGGGGGGGGGGGGGCAGAACAGGTTTCCTTACAACAGATTATTTTTATTTAGTATGTAGCATCTACAGAGGTCATGCAATCACTTCTATACACATAACATAAAAGGAGTCCGTGCAGATTTTACTCTGCTAGTTGTTGCTGACTATAGGAGATGCTCATCTCCATTTCAAGGCCATTGAGCCAGTGCTGTCCAAGACACTTCCATGGTCATATGGCCAGCAAGAAGTCACAGAGCGCCATTACTTTCCCTATTTTCCTATTCGAATTTGCATGCTTTCAAACTGCTAGGTTGGCAGGATCTGGAGTGAGAATGGAGCTCACCCCACGCACGGCATTTGGATCACAAACCTGGGCTGCTGTGTCTTAACCATTGAGTGATCACAGTGTATGTGTGTGTGTGTAGACGTACATATAGAATACAATGTACTAGATAAAATATAACTAGATAATAAATTCCAAATCATTGGGACAATCTGTGCTAGATATAAATCTTACAGCGTTTGATAATCATGTATTCTAATATATGATGTGACCAACCTCACCATTAGTTTTATAGAACTTGTGCTTTAACCATTTTCTGGGTTGACTCATTCGGGGGTTTCTTCATTTTCAGCTTCTCAAAAAATTGTGATGACCTCTTCAGTTATCACCAATCTATTCCCCAGATGAGAACCAAACAAATAGGAAATTACATACCTTGCTTGGCTTCACCCAGGCTAAACAACCAGGAATAACTTGGGCAGGAAGTTTTGCATAGCACTGTCTGTTGGAAGAATGTTATAATAGGCTAATTCAGATTTATCAACAAAAGATGACTTGATGTTGTTCTCCAATCCCTTTATATGTTTTTGATTCATATAACACTTCAAGCAATAAACAATATTTTGTAAACCATTATGCGTTTATGCATACACTACTAAGCCACAACCAAACAAAACTTCACGATAGCTTGGTTCAGTGAGTGATCCCACCACTAAACTACATACGCACATCACATACACACATTACAGAATACTCTGTTGAAAGATTCAGAGCACAGCTTAACAGGTTGGCAAAATCAAAACTTGTAAAACAAATGTTTTGTTTTCTTCCTTTTAAAAAAATGTTTATATTGCCTCTATGAACTGGTTAGATGCTGGGAAAAGCTGCAATACAAACAGTTCAGAAAACCATCACATTCATTTCCATTCACATATAATACTAAGTAATAAGATGCAATTGGCAAATAAACCACAATCTTGTTTCCACCTGATTTTAGCCGAGTTGGCGCAGTGGGTAGAGTGCAGTACTGCAGGCCACTTCAGCTGACTGCTATCTGCAGTTCAGCGGTTCAAATCTCACCGGCTCAAGGNCAGCTGGGTGGAGATGCCAGCGTGGCCGAAGAAGATGGGACCATGTGATGGATTTATGGGTGTGGGGATAAAATCATGAAATTTCAACTGGGTGGAATCCCAGGAAGTGTTCAGAGTTGGGATTCCACAGATGGTTGCCAACATGTCTGTTTTATTAAATTGGAACTTTTAAGGATAGCTCTGCCTTGGACTCTGATTTAATTCTGCATGATATTTGGAACGTTGACACTAACTTTTCTTCTCTTCACCTGCTTTTTCAGTGATGTATTCATTCCCTGACTTAGTCAACAGTTCCAATATTTAAATTCTGATGCTAACATTGCTCTGTAAGCAAGACAAACCTTATTCTTTCCCAATATTGCAACTTATTTTTTCTTTGAACCCGTTTCAATTGTTTATAAATTATTTAAATCTAAAAAAATCCAGACACTAAAATACAATAAGCAAAATATTAAAATCAATACACAAACTACATGAAATTACTCCAGAATCTTACCTAGTACTTCCGTTCTGTTGTTCCATCCTTGACTCCTTCCCTCACTTAATATCAACCCAATTCTTACCCCTTAACCAATGCAGCTAGCCCAAAGCCCTCTAGTTTTAATCATTTTCTATTTTTATGCTAAGAAAAAATGTGCATACGTATGAGACAATAGCTAATACAGGCAGATGTGGAATCAAATACTTTTTATTTTCATTTACTCAAAAGTTTTATCCTGACCCTGCCCATTTTGAAATGTGACTTCTGATACACCTACACATAAATGTCATTCATTGACAGAACAATGTAGATTTAGGTTAATTTAACCTGGCAAGTGTGAGTTAGTATAATGGGCAAAGAGGGACTTTCTAATCTATGAGTATTATTTTTTCCCCTTGTTTTTCTCAAGAGGGATTCTTAAGTTCAGTGTTATCTTCCTTTCTGCTAAATAAGGCACAGACCTCTGGATTGAGGGGAGGCCTTTTCAGGAATAGATGAACATGCTTCAAGATGTAAGTACGGTATGTATTTACTACTGCGTCTAAATTCACCTAAACTGAAACAGATCCCAAAAAAAAGATAAGATGTTGTCTTGAATACTTTGGTACATAACATATTCCAGGAGGCAATCAAACTATGTGAAAGATACAGGTCAATTCTTGATCAGACATCAAGCTTGTTACAGCAAATGTCAAGGGCTACAACATAGGTTTCTGTTGTGGCCCGGCAGGAGCCGTTGGAGCTGCCGCCAGACTGACAGCGAGGCGTCTTATGAGTAGGACTTGGAGGAGGTGGAGGATCCTGGACAGGGTGTCGACTCCGAGCAGGGCGAGGAGAGACTGGTTGGCCACCAGGTGG